GAAGAAGAGGAGGAGGAAGAGGGAATGTCTGCGGAGGAGGACCCGGGGCAAAATGACAGTGAGGAGGAAGGCGAAGAGGACCCCAATTTTCTACCCCAGACTGTCTTTCCGAGATCGTCCAAGCGACGTAAAAAAGACCCGGAGCTTGCGGTACTCACCGAATTGCCCGCGTTTGCGGACAGCGACGACGATCTTGAGAAGAGTTCAGAGGATGGAGAAAGAAATGAGCTTGGAGAGGCCGATGGAAACGAAGAGGAAGAGGAAGGATCAGGTTCCGAATCTAGCGCCGGAAACGCGGCCCGGTTTAGTAGACCTTTGTCGACAGACCAAGAGATGAAGAAGAGCAGAAGGCTGGCTAAAAAAGCAGCTGAAAACGGGAGCCCTGTAAGGGCATCAAGATCAGAGAGAGGTAGACCTTCATCCTCCAATGAAGAAGATACCTCAGAGGAGGAGGAGGAGGAGGACCTCAAGGCCTTGGACCAGGAAGAGACTCAACCGGAAAGCGCCGACAATAAAATGCAAGATTCTGGGTCGCTGAAGAATGAAGATGACGTGGAAGATCTGTTGAAGGAGGACGAAGACTATAAAGAGGCATCTGGTTTTCCTTCAGAAACAGTCGGTAGGTACCTCTGAATCTCCTGAAATGTTGGTGGTGATGTTTTAGGGCCCAAAGGTGCTTTTTTTTCCAGGACTTCCTTGTTTCTCTTTTGAAGACGTTTCGCTTCTCATCTGAAGAAGCTTCTTCAACGCTGCTGGTGGGGGACGGAAGGATTTATACTCCTTGCAGACAGCTGGTCATTTGCATTCTTTTAGAGAGTCGTTGAGGCCACTTGAAGGTTTAACTGTGTCCTCAGGGTCACCTGAGTGGTGCATATGGGTGTGGACAGCCCTCTCTCAACAGAGGGGGAGGGATACAACATCATCTGTCTCCAGTCTACCACACAGTCCTTTCCAAGAAGGCTGTGTCATGTGTCTGATTAACGAAACACTTAAAAGGACTTTCAGGCATATTTTTTTCCCTAAAAGCATTTATTAAGGTTACAGAGATGTCAGTACGGCATGGTGGAAATGCTTAGATCTGAGATTATTTTCCGTTGCACATACATTCCAGGCATTTTTCCCTCCCCTATTTTGGGGTCATGGTTCACATCTTCCAATTAATTTGGAAGATGTGATTTAATTCCGGTTTCTTTTTCCCGGGCTTTCCTTATTCTCCTCCCCTTTCACTGTTGCCTGATTTAACTATAAAAATACCAGACAGTTCTGCATATTGTCAGAGCAAGAATATACAGTATTTGCAGCGTTGACAGGCTGCACACCCATTTGCACCACTCAGGTAAACCCCCCCCAAGTGGCTTCAACGGCTCTCCAAAAGAAGGCAAACGACCAGCTGTCTGCAAGGGGTATAAATCCTCCCATTTCTCCACCATCCAGTCAGAGCTGAGGAAGCTTCTTGCAGACCGCTGGTTATTTGCATTCTTTTAGAGAGTCCTTGAGGCCACTTGGAGGTTTATCTGTGTCCTCAGGATCACCTGAGTGGTGCAAATGGGAGTGGACAGCCCTCTCTCAACAGAGGGGGAGGGATACAACATCATCTGTCTCCAGTCTACCACGCAGTCCTTTCCAAGAAGGCTGCACATCCATTTGCACCACTCAGGTAAACCCCCAAGTGGCTTCAACGACTCTTCAAAAGAAGGCAAACGACCAGCTGTCTGCAAGGAGTATAAATCCTCCCATTTCTCCACCATCCAGTCAGAGCTGAGGAAGCTTCTTGCAGACCGCTGGTTATTTGCATTCTTTTAGAGAGTCCTTGAGGCCACTTGGAGGTTTATCTGTGTCCTCAGGGTCACCTGGATGGTGCAAAGGATTCCTGTAGTCTGCAATATTTTTTTTTCTGGAAATCCGTTCATAACTCCCGCACCATCCGAAGGGTTTTTGATCCCAAAATGCATGGCTAAAAGTCTGGAGATTCTCAGTCATTCCAAGTCCTGGTGGTCCCAAAGATGCTTTTTTCAGGAGGCAACTGGACTTTCTTGTGTATTTTTTTTTGGAAGATGTTTTAGGGCAGTTACTCATTTCCTTTTGAGGGTGTTATCTCAGCCTCTGACATGTTTTGGCCAGAGTCGATTTCTTCAAACGTTTGTAAAAAAAAAACACTCTTCAGCTGCACTTTGGTGGGCAACTGTTTTATATTTTTCAACAGTTGCCTTGTCTTTTCTAGCAAGGTTGAGATCCTGTGCACAGTTACTCTGGTATTAGCCCAATGAATGCAGGGGGAGGTCTGAATAGGTCCACCTGTTTGCTGTGCAACTCTTATTCAGCAGACATGCACAGATAAAAAATCACCAATGGAGTTGTTATGCCCAGGCAACATATTTATGTAGGGTGGCATTAAAAGCGGCGGGGAGGGGGGGAATCATTGACTGTTTGATCTGATTTATATAAAGGAACGATATATTTTCCCCTTTCAGGGGCTCTGAAGTGGAAAGAAGGCCTCAGCCAGAAGGCAGCCGAAGCCTTTTTGAGACAGCAACAGGCCGTTCCGAATCTCCGCAAACTTGTTTATGGAACAGGTAAAAATATATCGCCCTGCCTGTGTTAATCAAGAGTACAGTAGATATAAATGGGAGGGAGGGAGGGAGGGAGGAAGGAAGGAAGGAAGGAAGGAAGGAAGGAAGGGAAGGAAGGAAGGGAAGGAGGGAGGAAGGAAGGAAGGATGGATGGAAAGGGAGGAAAGGGAGGAAAGAAAGGAGGGAGGGTGGGAAGGAAGGAGGAAGGAAGCAAAGAAGGGAAGGATGGAAGAGGGAGGAAGGGAGGGAGGGAAGGAGGAGGAAGGAAGGAAGGAAAGAAAGGGAGGAAGGAAGGAAGGAAAGGAGGGAGGGAGAGAGGGAAGGAAGGAAGGGAAGGAGGGAGGGAGGAAGGAAGGAAGGAAGGAAGGGAAGGATGGAAGAGAGGGAGGAAGGAAGGGAGGGGAGGAGGAAGGAATGAAGGAAGGAAAGAAAGGGAGGAAGGAAGGAAAGGAGGGAGGGCGGGAAGGGAAGGAGGGAGGGAGAAAGGAAGGGAGGAAAGGGAGGGCGGGAAGGAAGGAAGGGAAGGAGGGAGGGAGAAAGGAAGGAAGGAAAGGGAGGAAAGGAGGGAGGGTAGGAAGGAAGAAAAGGAAGGAGGGAGGGAGGAAGGAAGGGAAGAAGGGAAGGATGGAAGAGAGGAAGGAAGGGAGGGAAGGAGGAGGAAGGAAGGGAGGAAGGAAGGAAGGAAGGAAGGAAGGAATGAATAAAGGAAGGGAGAGAGGAAGGAAGGACGGAGCTTAAGCAAATGGGAAGGCTCAAAGTTGAGTGAGATTCTCATCAGTCCATCATTAGTACGATGAAAGCAAGCAAGGGGAAAAAAGCCAACATTTCCCCTTTTTCTATTTGGACCCTTAATTGTACTTCATCCCCAGGAGAATGCCTTTTGAGTTTCTTTTAGCTTGGCTAAAAGAAGTGTCAAAGGCCCCTGCCTGCCAGGTGGGAAATGCAGGCAGTGCTAAGAGGGCAAACGTGGAATTGGCCACGGAGCCCTCCGAGACTTGCGATAGTTACATTATTTTCAATATTTACCTACCTGCCCCGCTTAGGGAGTGTCTTTGGGCAGGCTTGCTGGATTTAAAAGGTTAAACCTCGACAATTAATCTGCCACCGCAGTGCAGACAAAAAAAACCCTAAATAAAGGCCAGTTGCCCAGGGCCTGCTTTGATCTAACTGGTGTGTGTGTGTGTGTGTGTGTGCAGGGATGCTCCCAAGTGTGAGGACTCGTGGTAAGTCACTTCCTCCAGTGCCGTTGCAACTTCGAACCGCCATTAATGTGCACAGTTAGGAGGTGATGATTTTGAATAAATCAGCCCTGCTCCAGAGTGTTGACGATGGACAGGCCATTAACAAAAATGCAGGCGACACGTAGATGTAAGGTGGGTTGTGATGCCTCTGTGGAAACTTTTAACTGTAGCTAAAACGCTGCCTCGATTCGTCCTCAGTGGCCGAGGACGAGGAGGAGGAGGAGGATGAAGGAGAAAGAGAGGAAGAACTCGGAGGGTTGTTTCGCGTCAGTCGTCCTGACAAAGAATCGAAACGAAAGATTGATGCTCTGGATTGCTCCAAATTTCCCGTGGAAGCCGCGCAAGACTGGGACTCGGACGAGGTAGGACTTCTGGAGATTTGTCGGACGCTGTCTTCTTGGAAACTGGGGTTTGTCCTGGCATGTCAGTCTCACCAAGTCTGTGATGTTGAAGAAAGAACATAAAAGCGTAGTTAAAATAAAGATCTCCAAATGCATACACATTGGGAATAGAATAGAATAAAATAGAATAGAATAGAATAGAATAGAATAGAATAGAATAGAATAGAATATGAAATAGAATATGAAATAGAATAGAATAGAATAGAATAGAATAGAATATGAAATAGAATAGAATAGAATAGAATAGAATAGAATAGAATAGAATAGAATAGAATAGAATAGAATATGAAATAGAATAGAATAGAATAGAATAGAGAATGGAATGGAATAGAATAGAATAGAATAGAATAGAATAGAATAGAATAGAATATGAAATAGAATAGAATAGAATAGAATATGAAATAGAATAGAATAGAATAGAGAATAGAATATGAAATAGAATAGAATAGAATAGAGAATGGAATGGAATGGAATAGAATAGAATAGAGAATAGAATATGAAATAGAATAGAATATGAAATAGAATAGAATAGAGAATGGAATGGAATGGAATAGAATAGAATAGAATAGAATAGTTGGAAAGTACCTTGGAGGTCATCAAGTCCAACCCCCTGCTCAGGCAGGAAACCCTATACCATTTCGGACAAATGGCTGTCCAGTCTCTTCTTAAAAACTTCCAGTGTTGGAGCACTCACCGCTTCTGGAGGCAGGTTGTTCCACTGGTTAATTGTTCTAACTGTCAGGAAGTTTCTCCTTAATTCCAGGTTGCTTCTCTCCTTGATCAGTTTCCATCCGTTGCTTCTTCTCCTGCCTTCAGGCGCTTTGGAGAAGAGCTTGACTCCCTCTTCTTTGGGGCAGCCCCTGAGATACTGGAACACTGCTATCCTGTTCCCCCTCGTCCTTCTCTTCATCAAACTGGACATACCCAATTCCAGCAGCCGTTCTTTATATGTTTTATATCATATGTACAACATGTAATATGTTTTATATTACATGCACAACAGAACAAACTGTTGTAAGTTGGTTGTTTGAGAAAAAAGAGAGAAAGAACCATAGCTATGTTTGGAGAGGCAGCGAGGGACTTAACGAAGCCCAGAAATATAAAGCCGTGAATCCATTTTGCAGCCCGTCTATAAATGATGACCGACTTGAACTTCGGTGTCCTTCCGACGTAAAGGTGTCCGATAGCCGGTGACAGAAAGCCGATAAACTTTTGCAAGGAGCTTACCTTCAGGCTTGATCCAGAATAATCTGGAAAAACGAGGGTGGGTCACTGTGAATCTCTGCTCTAAAACAGGGACGTTTATTTTGTACAGGCGATGGACAGCATCCGTGACTGTTTCGTGACCGGAAAGTGGGAAGCGGACAAAGATGCCGAAAAATTGTTGAAAGAAGATGGTAAATCAGAATGTCTCCTTCCCTTGTTAATTTTTTTTTGGGGGGGCAACCTGAAAAAAAAAGTATGGTTTCTTTTTTTCCTTTTTATTAAATTTTTTATGAAGATTACAATATAAACCCCCATACCCACCCCAAAACCCCGCCCTCTCCCTCCCCCACTTCCCAGAGCTGAACACAGGGTTACAAATATAATAATCAAAATCTGTCTAACATTAACCAACTATTAAAGTAACCAAGTCCATAATACGCTTTAACTCCCCTTTAACACAAATTTAAACAAATTAAAATTAAACACTAATAAACATATTCATAACCTAAATATTAAACAATACCATACTAATATTAAAAATAATAATAATATCATCTAATTAAAACTAACAAAAATTCCATTAAAATAAACTATTAATAATAACAATACTCTAGAGTTTACTCATAANAAGGAAGGAAGGAAGGAAAGACGGGAAGGATGGAAGAGACGAAGGAAGGGAGGGAAGGAGGAGGAAGGAAAGGAGGGAGGGTGGGAAGGAAGGGAGGGAAGGAGGAGGAAGGAAGGAAAGAAAGGGAGGAAGGAAGGAAAGGAGGGAAGGAAGGGAAGGAGGGAGGGAGAAAGGCAGGAAGGAAGGAAAGGGAGGAAAGGAGGATGGGTGGGAAGGAAGGAAGAAAAGGGAGGGAAGGAGGGAGGAAGGAAGGAAAGGGTGGGAAGGAAAGAAGGGAAGGATGGAAGAGAGGAAGGAAGGAAGGAAGAAAAAGAAGGAAAGGGAGGGTGGGAAGGAAGGAAAGAAGGGAAGGATGGAAGAGAGGAAGGAAGGGAGGGAAGGAGGAGGAAGGAAGGAAGGAAGGGAGAGAGGAAGGAAGGAAGGAAGGAAGGAAGGACGGAGCTTAAGCAAATGGGAAGGCTCAAAGTTGAGTGAGATTGTCATCAGTCCATCATTAGTACGATGAAAGCAAGCAAGGGGAAAAAAAGCCAACATTTCCCCTTTTTCTATTTGGACCCTTAACTGTACTTCATCCCCAGGAGGGTGCCTTTTGAGTTTCTTTTAGCTTGGCTAAAAGAAGTGTCAAAGGCCCCTGCCTGCCAGGTGGGAAATGCAGGCAGTGCTAAGAGGGCCAATGTGGAATTGGCCACGGAGCCCTCCCAGACTTGCGATAGTTACATTATTTTCAATATTTACCTACCTGCCCCGCTTAGGGAGTGTCTTTGGGCAGGTTTGCTGGATTTAAAAGGTTAAACCTCGAGAATTAATCTGCCACCGCAGTGCAGACAAAAAAAACCTAAATAAAGGCCAGTTGCCCAGGGTCTGCTTTGATCTAACTGGTGTGTGTGTGTGTGTGTGTGTGCAGGGATGCTCCCAAGTGTGAGGACTCGTGGTAAGTCACTTCCTCCAGTGCCGTTGCAACTTCGAACCGCCATTAATGTGCACAATTAGGAGGTGATGATTTTGAATAAATCAGCCCTGCTCCAGAGTGTTGACGATGGACAGGCCATTAACAAAAATGCAGGCGACACGCAGACGTAAGGTGGGTTGTGATGCCTCTGTGGAAACTTTTAACTGTAGCTAAAACGCTGCCTCGATTCGTCCTCAGTGGCCGAAGACAAGGAGGAGGATGAAGGAGAAAGAGAGGAAGAACTCGGAGGGTTGTTTCGCGTCAGTCGTCCTGACAAAGAATCGAAACGAAAGATTGATGCTCTGGATTGCTCCAAATTTCCCGTGGAAGCCGCGCAAGACTGGGACTCGGACGAGGTAGGACTTCTGGAGATTTGTCGGACGCTGTCTTCTTGGAAACTGGGGTTTGTCCTGGCATGTCAGTCTCACCAAGTCTGTGATGTTGAAGAAGGAACATAAAAGCGTAGTTAAAATAAAGATCTCCAAATGCATACACATTGGGAATAGAATAGAATAGAATAGAATAGAATAGAATAGAATAGAATATGAAATAGAATATGAAATAGAATAGAATAGAATAGAATAGAATAGAATAGAATAGAATAGAATAGAATATGAAATAGAATAGAATAGAATAGAGAATGGAATGGAATAGAATAGAATAGAATAGAATAGAATAGAATAGAATAGAATAGAATAGAATATGAAATAGAATAGAATAGAATAGAATATGAAATAGAATAGAATAGAATAGAGAATAGAATATGAAATAGAATAGAATAGAATAGAGAATGGAATGGAATGGAATAGAATAGAATAGAGAATAGAATATGAAATAGAATAGAATATGAAATAGAATAGAATAGAGAATGGAATGGAATGGAATAGAATAGAATAGAATAGAATAGTTGGAAAGTACCTTGGAGGTCATCTAGTCCAACCCCCTGCTCAGGCAGGAAACCCTATACCATTTCGGACAAATGGCTGTCCAGTCTCTTCTTAAAAACTTCCAGTGTTGGAGCACTCACCGCTTCTGGAGGCAGGTTGTTCCACTGGTTAATTGTTCTAACTGTCAGGAAGTTTCTCCTTAATTCCAGGTTGCTTCTCTCCTTGATCAGTTTCCATCCGTTGCTTCTTCTCCTGCCTTCAGGCGCTTTGGAGAAGAGCTTGACTCCCTCTTCTTTGGGGCAGCCCCTGAGATATTGGAAGACTGCTATCATGTCCCCCCTTGTCCTTCTCTTCATTAAACTAGACATACCCAATTCCAGCAGCCGTTCTTTATATGTTTTATATCATATGTACAACATGTAATATGTTTTATATTACATGCACAACAGAACAAACTGTTGTAAGTTGGTTGTTTGAGAAAAAAGAGAGAAAGAACCATAGCTATGTTTGGAGAGGCAGCGAGGGACTTAACGAAGCCCAGAAATATAAAGCCGTGAATCCATTTTGCAGCCTGTCTATAAATGATGACCGACTTGAACTTCGGTGTCCTTCCGACGTAAAGGTGTCCGATAGCCGGTGACAGAAAGCCGATAAACTTTTGCAAGGAGCTTACCTTCAGGCTTGATCCAGAATAATCTGGAAAAACGAGGGTGGGTCACTGTGAATCTCTGCTCTAAAACAGGGACGTTTATTTTGTGCAGGCGATGGACAGCATCCGTGACTGTTTCGTGACCGGAAAGTGGGAAGCGGACAAAGATGCCGAAAAATTGTTGAAAGAAGATGGTAAATCAGAATGTCTCCTTCCCTTGTTAATTTTTTTTGGGGGGGGGCAACCTGAAAAAAAAAGTATGGTTTCTTTTTTTTCTTTTTATTAAATTTATTATGAAGATTACAGTATAAACCCCCATACCCACCCCAAAACCCCGCCCTCTCCCTCCCCCACTTCCCAGAGCTGAACACAGGGTTACAAATATAATAATCAAAATCTATCTAACATTAACCCACTATTAAAGTAACCAAATCCATAATACGCTTTAACTCCCCTTTAACACAAATTTAAACAAATTAAAATTAAACACTAATAAACATATTCATAACCTAAATATTAAACAATACCATACTAATATTAAAAATAATAATAATATCATCTAATTAAAACTAACAAAAATTCCATTAAAATAAACTATTAATAATAACAATACTCTAGAGTTTACTCATAACCCAAATGAAACTTTTTAGTCCCATATTTATTCTGAATATAATCTATCCATCTTCTCCAGACCGAGATGTATCTTTCTTGTGATTGATCCTTCAAATAAGCGGAAATTTTAGCCACTTCTGCTAAATTTGACACTTTAAGCGTCCATTCTTCTATAGTAGGCAAAGAGTCCTTCTTCCAAAATTGAGCTACCAATAATCTTGTGGCTGTTATAAGATTCAACATCAAATTCATTTCTTTAACATCCAAATCTTCCATAATGCCTAACAAAAATAACTGCGGTGTAAACTTTTTATCTTTTTCTTAAAAATATTTTGAATATTCCACCAAATCTTAATCCAGAATGCTTTTATATCCCTACACGTCCACCAAATATGGAAATAAGTTGCATCTAAACTTCCACATCTCCAGCATTTGGGCTGTAAATTAGGATACATACAGGACACTTTTTGAGGATCCAAATACCACCTATAAAACATCTTATAAAAATTTTCTCTTAAATTTTGAGCTTGAGTAAATTTTACATTTCTAGCCCAAATTATCTCCCATATTTCTAATGAAATCGATTCTTGAATATTTTGAGCCCATTTTACCGTACAATCTTTAACTAATTCCGTTTCAGAGTCCAATTCTATCAAAACATTATAAATTCTCTTTATATGGGCTCGAGTTTGATCTTTAATCTGTTTTATCAAATTCACATCCTGCAAAGTAATACCAACTTTTTGATCTAAAAAAAAGTATGGTTTCTTAATACAGGCAGTCCTCGACTTAGCGACGGGTTGCTTTTAGCAACGCTTTGAAGTAACGATGGACTCACAATTCACTCTTTGAAGTTTTGATATCAGCCCATCCTCATTGCAGTCACATGATTGGGTTTTTGGCCATTTGGCAACTGGCCAGTTCCCAGTGCCTCCTAGTCATATGTAGAAATGGGAAGGGCTGGAAAAAAAACCCAGAAAAACTGGGGAAAAAACGGGTTTTTTTCTCCCTTTTTTTCCAAAGCTGTTTGGAAAAAAAAAAACAGGAAAAAAATGGTGTTTTTCCCCCCCAAACAGCTTTGGAAAAAAAGGATAACAACAATAATAACACCCCCCCTCCCGTTTTTTTCTGTTTTTCTCCTTTATTCCATTTTTTTTCCCGCAGGCCTTCCCATCCCTTGACTCCTGTGACTGTGATTTATCATGGTTTGCTGGGAACTAGCGTTGACTTCCCATGGAAAAAAAAATAAAAGTTGTAAAATCAGGTCCGGTTGCAACCACCGAGACTTAACAACCATCATGACCAGGCTCAATTTACGGTCATAACTCAAGGACTTATTTATATATTTTTTTCCCCTAGAAGAAATATACGGCGATTTTGAAGACCTCGAGACGGGAACCATGTATAAAGGCAGATCAGCTGATCAAGAACATGAGGTTTGAGTCACGTCTGTGGAGATTCTCGGTCATTCCCAGGTCCTGGTTGTCCCAAAGATGCTTTTTCAGGAGGCATCTGGACTTTCTTTGAAGACGTTTCTCTTCTCATCCAAGAAGCTTCATCAGCTCTGACTGGACGGTGGGGAATGGAAGGATTTATACTCCTTGCAGACAGCTGGTCATTTGCCTTCTTTTGGGGAGTCGTTGAGGCCTCTTGGAGGTCTACCTTTATCCTCAGGGTCACCTGAGTGGTGCAAATGGGTGTGGAGCCTTCTTGGAACTGCTGAAAGGACTTATGTTGTAGACTGGAGATGGATGATGTTGTATCCCTCCCCCTCTGTTGAGGGAAGGGTGTTCAATTTTGACCCAGATGGCCTCTTTGACCCCACTTTCAAACCATTTGGTCCTCTGTCTCCCAAAGAGTGACCTTTGTCTTTTAAATGCAGGTGGAGTATAAATCCTTTCCACTCCCCACCCTCCAGTCAGAGCTGAAGAAGCTTCTGGGATGAGAAGCGAAAGATCTTCAAAGAAAAACAAAGTCCAGTTGCCTCCTGGGGAAAAAAAAAAGCCCCTTTGGGGTGAAGTTGGGGACCGTCCGATTACCTGTGTCTGATTTTACTGGTGGATGCTGTGTGATGATAATGATGATGGTAAAGTTGGAAGGGACCTTGGAGGTTATCTAGTCCAACCCCCTGCTCAAGCAGGAAACCCTATACCATTTCAGACAGATGGCTGTCCAGTCTCTTCTTAAAAACTTCCAGTGTTGGAGCATTCACAGCTTCCAGAGGCAGGTTGTTCCACTGGTTAATTGTTCTAACTGTCAGGAAGTTTCTCCTTAGTTCTAGGTTGCTTCTCTCCTTGATTAGTTTCCACCCGTTGCTTCTTGTCCTGCCTTCAGCTGCTTTGGAGAATAGCTTGACTCCCTCTTCTTTGGGGCAGCCCCTGAGATACTGAAACACTGCTATCATGTCCCCCCTCGTCCTTCTCTTCATTAAACTAGACATACCCAATTCCAGCAACCGTTCCTTATATGCTTTAGCCTCCAGTCCCCTAATCATCTTTGTTGCTCTTCTCTGTACTCTTTCTAGAGTCTCAACATCTTTTTTACATCGTGGTGACCAAAACTGGATGCCGTATTCCAAGTGTGGCCTTACCAAGGCCTTGTAAAGTGGTATTAATACTTCACATGATCTTGATTCTATCCCTCTGTTAATGCAGCCCAGCACTGTGTTGGCCTTTTTGGCAGCTGCAGCACACGGCTGGCTCCTATTTAAGTGATTGTCCACTAGGACTCCAAGGTCCCTCTCACAGTTACTACTATTGAGCAAGGTACCCCCTATACTATACCTGTGCATTTGGTTTTTCTTGCCTAAATGTAGAACCTTGCTTTTTTCACCATTGAATTTCATTTTGTTATCCCAAACCCTGTAAAAACTAATAAAATCTATACAAAAAATAAATAAGTAAAGGTCGTAAAAAGGGTCAAAAATTAACTGAACCACCGTCTGGCTTAGCAACAGAAGTTTTGGCCTCCCTTGTGCTCGTAATTCGAGGACTACTTGTATTTAACTTCGAGTCCCTGGAGCTGTGTCCACCCTGCCTGATGCGATAGAGGCTGTTATCCAACTTGTAAACCTGTTGGGTGTAGAAAAAGGGCATCTGTCAAGGAAATCTTATTTAAAAAAAAAAAAACTTCGGTGGTGCGGATTTCATTGGGGGAGAAAAAAAAATTAAAAGCTCGACTGACTTGAATTATTATTATTATTATTATTAGTAGTAGTAGTAGTAGTAGTATTAGTATTAGTATTATTATTATTTTCCCTCCACGCCATTAGGCGGCCAACGAAGGAGAAGAGGACAACGAAGGAAAGAACGACAAAGGGGCAGAAGAGGAAGAAGAGCAGAAGAAACGCATCGCCAAGAAGCGTAAGCTGAAAGAGATGTTTGATGCCGAGTACGACGGAAATGCCACCTACTTCGATGACTTGAAAGAGGAGCTGCAGAAGCAGGCTCAGGTAGAGAACTTTAGCTTGCTGGAGTGCTCCAGAGGCAAAGAGGAGGGCCCAGCAAAGTTTCTCGTTCAGATCTTGCCCAGTTCACTTTGGAAAAAGTTTCACAAATCCGTTAGCAAATTGCGAATTAAGTCACGCTGGTTGGAGAAAGAAATTTCACATTGCTCTTATCTTGACTGTCTTTGGTGTAAATCAGGGGTATCAAACTCAAACTTCATTGAGGGCCGCATCAGTATTGCAGTTGCCCTTGGGGGGCCGGGGGTGTGTGGCCAGGGGGTGTGTGGCCTACTGGGTGGGCGTGGAGGGAGTGGGTGTGGCCTACTGGGTGGGTGTGGCCAGCTCTACATCGTTCACATCAAGGGGGCCTGTGGGGGCCTGGGCAGGAGTGGGACAGATCTGAGGGTCTCTGGCAGAAGGGGGGGGACCAGGGCAAGTGCCAAGGCATGGTCCACTGGAGGAGCCTCACTGTTCCTCTCAGGCCATGTGGGGGGGGGGGCGCTGGATGGTGATGCGGGCTGCCTGGAGCCCTGGGCAGCAGAGGTCAAACGCCCAGCCTGGCCCTCGAGCACCGTGGCACCAAGCCCAGCCCCACTTCCCCAAGGGGGTGCCCAGCTGCACTTACCTCCTCAAGGCTGCTGCTGCTGTGCTTGCTCTCCTTAGCCAGGTTGTTCATGATGGGTACCAGGGCAAAGTCAGAGGGAGACTGAATGTGTTTCAGCATAGATGGCCACCACAAAATTGTACATTGGCCAGGGCGAAGGCAGCGGGGGCCGTTCCCTCACAGTTTCCAGGATGGCTTCGTGGGCCACATGAAACCACTTCGCAGGCCGCATCCGGCTCCCGGGGCCTTGTGTTTGACATGTCTGGTGTAAATAAAGGAGGGAGGGAGAAATGCTGTCAGGTTTATTATAGCAACAGCACTTAGAATTATATACATTATATTATTTACAGCCCTCTCTAAGCAGTTTACAGAGTCAGTCTATGGCCCCAACAACCTGGGTCCTTGTTTTACCAACCTCGGAAGGATGGAAGGCAGAGTCAACCTTGACTCGGTCAGGGTCAAACTGCTGACCGTGGGCAGAGTTAGCCTGCAATGCTGCATTCTAACCACTGCGCCACCGCTGCTCTATGTTATAGCGTAAAGCAGTGGCTCTCAATCCATAGTCCGTGGACCCCCCGGGGGCCATTATGTCACCATGGGGAGGGCGTCCACAAAGGCTTGAAGAAATGTCATGATTTAAATCTTTTAAGTTTTGGTGGTCCGTGGCCATGAAAGGTATTTAAAAGGGGGTTCTTGGTAGAGAAAAATGGTTAAGAGTCACTGGCATGAAGGATTACTGTTGTTTGAGAACCAGTTTGGTGTAGTGGTTAAGGCACTAGGCTAGAAACTAGGAGACTGGAAAGAAGGAAAGGGAAGGGAAGGGAAGGGAGGGGAGGGAGGGAGAAAAAGAAAGGAAGGGATGGGAAAGGAAGGGAGGGAACACATATAAATTGAGTTCCAATAATTCTTGTGCAATCTATTTCATGACCTGGCCTACCTCGAAGACCTGACTCTTGCCTTCTCCATAATTCCTCAGTGAAATGCGCTCATAACACGTCCATTCCCCATCAGTTAAAGAAAACGTGATTGACATAACATATGTAGTGTAAGGACCCACCTCACTTTACATCTTAAGACAGAACTCTTGGAATATCTCCTCCAACAGGCATCTTTATTAAGAGAAAATGATTGCAGGCGTTCTGGACAGGATCTGAGGAATTCTCTCCCATCCTTCAATGTTTTAGGTGTTCCCAAGCAGCCCCCCCACCCCACAGTTCTTCCGGGCGACGATTCCCCCCCCCTTTCCCTTACTGCCAGCAAAAGGGAGACTTCAGAGAGCGAGTAGATGAAAGGCGATGGCCATCTTGTTATGGTCAGTCCTCTTGGTGAGAATCCACATCCAGTCCTTTTGAAGTTTTAAGGAAGGAAGTGAGAGCCATAAAACCCCCCTGCTCATCCCCCTTCCCCTTCGTAGTATGACAGAATCCAGAGAGAGCAGAAATGGGGTTTTTTTTCCATAGTAAATAACTAGAAATGAAATATAATTGGATTCTGACATGTAGATTGTATGTAATTAAGTGTCTGGATGGTCATGGAAAATTGGTTCACAAGGTAACCAAACAGCACAGTAAGAAACACACAGGGATGCACACAACTTTTAACAAGGTGAACCACGAACCCAGACGCGGCGTGTTGCGGAAGTGCAGATTCCCGTTTTGCAATTCGGCAGACTTGGCGCTGTGCGCGGCCAAGATCAGCTGCGGGATTGTCGCGACGGACCTGGCGTGCGATAAAGCATCGCGTTCCTTCTTGACGTTTGCCCTGCAGCTTAACAGACTCGAGTTTGACGACCAAGACGACGAAACCCGAATCCAGTACGAGGGATTTCGGCCGGGGATGTACGTCCGGATAGAACTGGAGAACGTCCCGTGTGAACTGGTGCTGCATTTCGATCCACGCTATCCAATTGTGCTGGGCGGCCTCGGCAACACGGAAGGGAACGTGGGCTACGTGCAGGTACGTTACGTTCTTGCACGCCTTTTTAACCACGATATATAAAGGTAAAAGTTTTTCTCTATCCGGTTGTGTCCGACTCGTCTCCGTTCCCTAACCGAGGGAGCCAGTGTTGTCTGAAGACGCTTTTGTGGTCCTGTGGCCGGCATAACTATACACTCAGGGTCATGGTGCCTTCCCACCAAAGTGGTACCCCTAAGAAAAAAACTTTTATACTTAATTATTATTTATTAAAACAATAAGAATTGTATTAACTTAAGGTTGGTAAAAGAGAACACTATGGGGAAAAGAGGAAACCGTGTAAAGTTACCCTGTGGATTATAGATTATAGAATTTAATGGTTAGTGAATGTTTGCTAAATGTAAACCCAGACCACGCACTGTCTACCGAATATTAAAGTGATTATGTTAAAAAATTAACAAAACATATTTTTTAAAAAAAGAAATGAAAACTTTGTTCTCAACAAAGGTGAGGGAGGGATCGTTGAAATGGCTTTTGAGATGAGATGAAATTGTTCCTTCTCTCTCTCTCTCTCTCTCTCTCTCTCTTTCTCTTTCTCTTTCTCTCTCTCTTCAGATGCGGTTGAAGAAGCATCGCTGGTACAAGAAAATCCTCAAAACCCGCGATCCTCTGATTCTGTCTCTAGGCTGGAGGCGGTTCCAGACAGTTCCTATGTATTACATAGAGGACCACAACGGTCGTCACAGGCTACTAAAATACACGCCACAACACATGCACTGCGGAGTAACTTTCTGGGGTAAGAGCTCACGTCACAACTCTCAGACTTAAGAGGAGATACCGCGTAGGACTTTCAATCAGAATGGAGCTGGAAGGGACCTTGGAGGTCTTCTAATCCAACCCCCTGCTCAAGCAGGAGACCCTGTACCATTTGAGACAAGTGGCTGTCCAGTCTCTTCTTAAAAGCCTCCAGTGATGGAGCGCCCACAACATCTGTAGACAATTTCTGTTCCACTGGTTAATTGTCCTCCCTGTCAGGAAGTTTCTCCTTAATTCCAGGTTGCTTCTCCACTTCTTGATTAGTTTCCATCCATTTGTTCCTTGGCTGGCCTTCAGGTCTTTTGGAAAACAGATTGTCTCCCTCTTCTTTGTGGCAGCCCCTCAAATATTGAAAGACTGCTATCGTGTGGTCCCTGGTCCTTCTTTTTTACCCAATCCCTACAAAGGTTCTTCATATGTTTTAGCCTCCAGCCCTCTAATCATCTTCGTTGCTCTTCTCTGCACTTTTTCCAAAGTCTCAATTTCTTTTTTTGTAATGTGACCAAAACTGGATGCAGGTATTCCAGGTGTGGCCTTACTAAAGGTTTTATAAACTGGTACCAGTACTTCACCTGATTTTAATTCTGTTTATGCAACAAAGGAATCACTTGCCAAGATGTTTTTATTGGGGTAGCAGTTAACAATCATTCATGGTTATCTGTTAGTTTGAAAAAGGACTTGGTCCAAACCTAGTGATGCTTTCAATGTTGGTTAAGGCAAGACAGTTCTAAAGTCTGTTTTAGACACAAGATTCAGACATCACCCTAGTGACCTAAGAACAATGGTCTGGATACCTGGCCAATAGATATTTATTTGGAAATAACAAGCAGATGGCATCTCCAAATAAGAGACATTGCTGGTATTACAGTCCATTAAAAATGTATTTTAATGGGCAGATGAAATATCTGAAATGCGTGCTAACTAGCTGCATGAAAGGCAAAGAATTGTATCTGTTCCATACAAAGAAAATCATCTTGGAGAATAAAGATGCTCTGCTTTGCTACACTGTTAAGAGTTTGTAAATCTTGATTATATCTTCATTCCTTAGGCCAGGTGGTTGATAAACTGGGCCATTCATCTTGATTACATGTTCATTCCTTATCGGCCATTCGTCTTTTTTTTCCCTTCGTTTTCAAATCTCGTCTTCCTTCACGCTCGGCTGGGTGGACTTTAAAAAAAAACTAAGAAAGGTCAGACCTGATTAGGATTTGAAGGAGAGACCCTCAGAAGTTCTAGGGCTCTCAGCTAGGTTGAAAAACCAAAAATCATTTGGACGAAAGGAAGCGGCAATTCCACCTTCTAAGTGGAATTTTCCTCCAATGGGGTTTTCCCATGTATTTTACCAGGAAACAGAGATAGGGCAGCCTAGAAAAGTCAGTGCCCTCCTAACCATACCCAAGCACTCCGAATTTGTTGGCGGTGTCCATTTTGCTCGATGAGTTCATGGTGACCTAACCCTCACCCCGTGGGCAGCTTTCAGATGCGTGGACTTCAACTCCCAGAATTCCCTAGCCAGCATGGGAGTTGAGTCCACACAGTTTAAAGCCACTGAGGTTGAGAAGCACTGCCCTAGACTGGTGCCAAGAAAACTACAAGGACGCGTTATCCAGTTTGTAGCTTGCCTTAGAAAGGTAAGGCATAAACGATAGATAGATAGATAGATAGATAGATAGATAGATAGATAGATAGATAGATAGATAGATAGATAGATAGATAGATAGATAGATAGATAGATAGATAGATAGATA